GGATAACTTTCGCCAATTACTTGATCACCGTCGACCAATGAAATTGGCCCATTTTTATATGTTCGTTTCATTTTCCCCCCCTCCCCCCTCCCTCTCCCAAGAGTTCTAAAGGTGATGTTAACCGAAGAATTAACTTCGAACGGCCTAATTGACAAAACAGTATAGAAGATTCTCAGAGTCCGAACTACAGTGGGCTTCTCGCGCGTGACTCACTTTATGATCTTGCGAGTTCATTGCGGTCTACAGAAATGTAACTTCTAGCAGTTCTAAGAACTCTGACGACTACGGCGAGCTTCTTGCGCGTGGGTCGCTTTGTGTTCGTTTTATTTTTTTGGAGGCTCCAAAAAATAAAACGAACATGCAAGATCATAAGCGACCCACGCGCAAAAGCCCACTGTAGTCGTCAGTAAAGTTTGGAACCGGTCTTATTTTTCATATATTAAGCAGGTTTTAATCGGTTTTACATATAAAGAATAAACCCGGTTCCAAACTCTATACCGAGCCAAATTCCGAAAAGGTAACAAACCGGAACAATATTGAAAATGAATAAATACATGAAAAACTTATAAGAGAGAAGGAATTGAAGTTAGATGAGGTAAATATTGTATTCTTGAAGATATGACGCAAGTCACTAAACCATGAGCGCAGTATCGTCAAGTTCAGGAGCTCGATAACGATAAAGAGCAGTTCTAGTGTCAGCTAAAAATGTAACGTGATAGATAATTAAGTGACAAGATACTGTATCAAATCTTCATTTTACAGTTTAACATCTCTTTGTTTGAAAGCGATATTGACATAATAACTACATAAAGAACCATTGAAATTTTTTATCATAAGAATGACCAATTCGATTAAAGAGAATTGACTGTATATAAATATTAATTGGAGAATATCATGAAAAATATTAAAGCTTTAGAGACTGCCGAAGATATTTTATTTTTGCGTTGATTCTGAGCTTTAATTGCTACATTTTTATGAGCGATGCTAAACCACCAAAATCAGTTACGTAATCGCTATTACTCAATCAGATTTCGTAACCCAGCATTTTTGTCACATTATAAATCGAATTTAGACAATTAATTTGATTACAAAATTTATAAAATTTTTATAGCGTAAGAAAAAGTCGAAATTATTCAGTGAATTTATTATCTAACTTTACACCTATAACATGAAATATTTATGAATTTCGAATTTATTACCAATAAAAAGTAATTTTGTTTTGTTTATGCTAGATCCTTTATTATGTCGTCTACAATCTTTTAGTGATCCGGATGACTATTGACGCAGGTGTTATTTAAACGGATATATCCGATATTAGACAGATCGGATTATCCGTTATCTTTTTTACAGGTATCTTATATCCTATTGATACAATATTTAAAATTTGAAAATTTAAAGATCATAACGATAATGTAAAAATAAATAATAGATAACATATTTATTTAATACTGTATATTGACTAATTATTTAATAACATTATTTAGGTTAATATTGATAGACGTTTATTTTAAAATATCATTCTTTTAAAAAGCTCAGAAGAAATTCGAATTCTTTTGATGTCATTAAGTTATCAACACGTTTTAATCGGTGGTTATACACCGTATTTGCTAAAATCATTAGAAAAAGATTACCCGGGTCTATGTCACTTGCCCGACAACAATTTCTCCGACATCTATTTCCCCAATATTTTCCCGACATACCCTTTCTCCAACAACCATTTCCCCAACAACCACTTCCTCGACATATCCTTTTCCCCAACATACCTTTTTCCTCGACAACCATTTCCCTAACATCCCCTTCTCAGACATATCTTTTTCTCCGAGTTGGAAAAAAAAATATGTCTGAGAAGGGGATGTTGGGGAAGTGGTTGTCGAGAAAAAAGGTATGTTGGGAAAAAGGGTGTGTTGGGGAAGTGGTTGTCAGGGAAATGGTTGTTGAAGAAGGGGTATGTCGGGAAAATATCGTTGGGGAAATAGATTTCGGGGAAATTGTTGTCGGGCAAGTGACATGGACCCAGATTACCCCGCAGATAACGAAATTTATGAATATAAGATTACTTGAAATAAGTAATTTCTGGCACTATCTAAATTAGCAAAAATTTATCTTGCTATCCTAGTGACACTCACCTAAGTGAACGTTTGTCTGTTCAGTGATTAATCAAAGTCTATCCGAATATAATTACTTTCCAGACAGTATTTAAGCTACGGATCGCTACTCATCTTTTAAGTTGGTTTGAAATTTAATTCAATGTTTTCAACCGTTTCTTTTGAAGGTCAAACGCTTATCTAGAATAGTATTGATATTAGGATATTATATGCTTCTATTTATTATGCTGTATAATTAATTCAATAAAAATAATAAATAAGCTATCTCAAAAGTTTTTGTATACTGTTCGATAATTTTCGATCTATTCATTTGATTCATCGTCTTGTCAAGAACTTGAATTGATTTATTGTAAAATCTGTAGATCATTTCCAGATAAATTTTCCTAAAATTTGTGTCATCGTACGTACTAAATTGCTTATAATTTGTGTCATCGTACTAAATTGCAAAAATTGTTGTTACCAAAGTTCTGTGCAAGTCATGGGCATCATGTTTTCTGCCCCGTACTTACAACATACGTATGTATATTCGTTAACACTAATTTATAATCATTGATTAAAACCGGACCAATCAGTAATAATAAAATCCAGCCAAATTTGCCTGGAAAACAGCAGACGATTTTTTTAGATCAACAACCCTAAATTAGGAATCGTCAATCTTAAACATTTATAATTCCGGGCAAATTTGCTTGGAAAACAGTTTAAGAGATAGAAAGTTGTGCATTATCAAGTGACATGCGAATTTTTCCTGATTTTTTCAACTTCTTCAATTAATGGATAATACGAACTTCGTTGAACCTAAATTGAAATTATTAATATATATTTGATATGTAATAAATATAAGATGAATATTACTAACCATAACCGGTGGTGACCATCACCGGGGTGCCTATATCTCAAAAACGTAGAAGTAAACATTCTAAAAACCTCATGAAAACTAAATTTGGGACTTTATATTAGTTTTATATTATATTATATAAAAAAAATAATTCTTAATACCCGCACCCTAACTCTAAAAATACCTAGGGGTGGTGACGATCACCGCCGGTTATTTGTAGTAAAATTCATATAAGATTATCTGATTTGTCATTTCGATATGAAAGACTTATAATTACATTAAGATCTATTCGTGCACCTTCTCCTTGGTATTATCCATAAGTCTTTTATAAACCACATCTTTGAGATTTTCAAGTTCTATAACATCCTCTTGTATTTCACGAACATTATTCATTCTGCCCTTGAAGTTTGGTTTTATTTATACGGGTTAAGCATTTAATACATGTTTTTTTTTTTATTATTTTCAAATTCATTAAATTGTTTTATTATTCAACAAGATAATGAATTCGATTGAGTTAAATAATCTGCTTACATTAATTAAATTTTTATGAAATATTTGGTAAGAAATAATACTTGTTATTATGTTATAAACAGATATCATCATAAACGACTAATACATTGCATCATTATTTTTAATCAAATTTTTCGGTAAATGATTTTAACTCCGTGCTTGACTGATTTTTGGTGGTCATGCTTCATAGCAGAAATTCGTATGATTGGCAGTTTAAATCAAATTAATTTTACATTATTTATACAGTTTAAAGTACTTTTTAAAAAAAATAA